GACGCCACTGACTCCAATTCAACCTCGTTTATGTGCCCATATACGTTCTGATCCAATATTAACATGTTGCAGCATACCTGTACTGATAGTGCCACATTTTCTCGTATCTTTCTAATCAGTTTACTTTGAATGTAATCATGAATGAGCGCAGTTGAAATGGTATTTTGGAAGGACAGAGACTGGTCACAATCATAGCAAATGTTACGAACGGAGAAGCATGCGGAAAATGCCATTGTTTGTAATTGTAGACGATTCACAGAATTAACGGGTTCCTTGCAAGCAAGGTGATGTTGATTCAGAACAAATCCCTAATCTTCATTAAGCTTCATTCCATCAACTGACTCATCTGCACTTCATTTCGGATTTGTGCCATGCATTAGTACAATACAAGTGTACAATAAACAGCGCCCAACAGTACTAGTATGCCATGCAGAATCAAAAACATCCGAGCTGCAATCTTGAACTCGGTCGAGTGCACGGCAAAAACGACTACCGGGAAAGGTCAACAAGAAAGGGGCGGGAAAATCGGATGGATCTACCGCAAAATGTTTTGGTGCGCACAGTGGCGCGTTCCATTTCAACCCTACCATATGTATGGGTTTCGACGCTGCCACCATCTCTAGCAACGATGACGCTCTTCGACCTTGAATGCTGGAGGAAGAATTTCAAGGACAAACACGCGAATTTGGCCAAGAAGATGCATTTCATGTAAAAGGATTTAGAAGTATACTTGCGTGTTTGAAGGAAATTAATGAACTCGTGGTCTTTTCTTGGTGCGCAGGAGTGCCTTTTCAAAGTTCACTCTATGTAATTCTGACCCTGACATGCCTGACACATTTTTTTGTGTGGCTGAATTAGCGTTTATTCAACTTGTCCGGTGGGGGCCTTGCCGATACCTGCTGGTTACAACTAATTGCGCCTCCCATGTGAGCCTGAAGAACCTTAATGTAGCCTTCTAACCCTGACATTTTGATTTTTTTGTTCGTGGCCTAATGTGTGTTAGTGCCACATGGTTCTGGTTGAATTTGTTAAGGCCAGGGATACCTACCTCCTCTCGGAGTCGCCGTGACGTACCACACCATAACTGTGACCACTTGGATCATTGGGTGTGCCGGCCAACTGTGGACATAGTTTCTGTAAGAATGTTCCATTGACCTATCGTGTCGCACTCCTTCTCACATCTATACCATACACCTTGAGGATGGCCCTCTTCAATGGTGTACGTTATGTCCTTTCATCTTCAATACAAGTGGAACGGCACGAGGAACTTTCTGCCTTACTGAATCTCCACGGTGCAATGAATGCACCACCGCATACCCATCTTATTGCGCTTGCTGGATCGCACACTCAGAGTGAAACCCAGGGATATCTGCATGTAGTATCGGACATGTGGGTACGACAGAGTATAGTCCTTGGAAAACTTCACTGTGAGCCTCCTATTTTTCACTTTGGTACGAAGGCATTGACGGACAATATCTCAGTGAGCAGTACTATTCACCTGATCCAACAATGATTTTTTCAGGTGTCGTTGCATGCGCCACTGATGTGAGTGAACTGTCCTCGGTCATATCGTATGGCATTAATGTTGATCACAAGCTCTCCAGACCGGACCTTGAAGTTCTCTCAGCCGGTATCACCTCATTAGGAGGGCAGTGGCGAACAGCCCTTACTCGCGACGTGACCCATCTCTTCGCATTGCATGAACAGAGCGACAAGGTATTTGCTCTCTTTGCTTCATTTACTGTGAATCTAATGCTAATGGGACCATTTTTCACTGCACTATCCCTCATGGCGTAGTATCAAACTGCAATGTATTTTGCACCATATACCTGCATGTCCATCCTCACACCACATTGGTTCGACGATTCAGTTCAGGTTGGATGTCGTGTCCCTGAGATTCCTTACTTATGGCCTGATCCCGAGGTCTTAAGACCTGTGTACTGCAGGTTACGATGGGTCACGATATTATAGGTATTGCAGAGGCGAGCAAAGTGACACTATCACATAGTAATGAATCAGTATCTGACCTTGTAGAATACTACTAGTACGGGCATATAGCCCCCTTTTTTTTGTCGTGCCAGTGCAAATGCATTTTTGTGTCAATACATTCTGAGAACCAAGGGATGTGAGCCATCCATTCAAAACTATGGAAATCTAATTACTGAATATTGCATAGACTGGCGTGTCGCCAGCGCGACACGCCAGTCTATGCAATATTCAGTAATTACAACATCAGCCGTCGGAGTATCAATGGAATGCGCCATTTGGTTGATGCTCGTAAGATGTCGACGGACATCCAACTCTTAAGCTTCAGATTCCATCGATTTCCATTCTCCATGCAAGGCCGTATCTAATTAGGAATGGTGTTGTACTCCATTTTAGTTGTACTGTTTCTTTATTTCAGATGCAAATCAAGTCTTATGACCGCTACCCACAGCCTCGTGCCCATTCCCATTAATCCCTACTATGACGAGCAATAATCAGCACTCGGTCCCATCACTCGTGTCCCTGGCAGTACACATGCACGGATCATCTTATTCTCCCATTAATAATCTACCGGGCTACACTCATAAGCCATTCCGCATGACCCAAAACATGAACGTGCCACATACTACCACACCGCCAGCCAAATTATCCTCCAGTACTCTGAGTCCTCCAAAAACTCATATATCGGTACTCAACAAGCTGAAGACATCTCCTGGAGGGTTTTATGCTGCAATGCCTAGGCTTGCTTATCGTGCCGAGTATTTCGCAGGTGGAAGGGATGGTAACATCCTCATCACCAAGGGTCTGGACCATGACGAAGAGTTCATCATCCGTGGAGTATTCCAAATCAGTCGTAACGATTTCTTTTTCACACCGGACGGCAACTTCAATCCTGCAAATATCTTCCATGGCCGCTTAGCAGACTTGAAATTGAGCTGTCGACTCGTTGCAGGTCGTAGCAAGTCCTTCAAGTTCTCGTCACGAGATTTCCCTGCCGTGCTCAATAATCTTAGCGCCTTCGAGAACCTAATTCCAAAGGAAAGATACTACGAGACCCTTAGTGTTATTCAGGACGCTATTGGCCGCAGATCAATCAAGCTCACTCACCGCCTCTTTGAGGTGAGTTAGTTTTAGTGATTCATCAATCTTCTCTAATAATACTGAATGTTATCATACAATAGGCCAATGACGAACCTCAAGGTGATACTAGTGGCGAAGATGGTAACAGTTCAACCACTGTTCGTGAGTCAGGAATATTCCTTTGTTGTTGTATGAACCTAAGTATCCGCTTTAGCCTCCCCAGACAGCCTAAGCTCCGAATTTGACATCGCGACTTGGCCAGTTGCCGACCGATGTAAAGGCCATCTACAGGATGTCGCATCCAGGCATAATATTTGCCCATTACCAGCATATGATCAGAACCACGTTCTCATCCCACCACTCGAGTACGAAGCGAAACTTAAGGGTGCGCTTGTTGAAGTTCATATGGCTTTTTGCCATCACCACGTGAAGAATTCAAGGCGTGACATCTTTGAAGCTGTTTTACGAGAACTCATCGTCTTGTTACCACCTGCGCCAATGCCGAGCAGCCGCTTCAAACATCGCCGCCTCAATGATGGGCCTTACACTGAACAACATAACAAGGGAAATTAACTGGCACACCTCGCCTTGAATTGTAGTATGTATTTACTCTGATCATTGGCATATGTGAATTGACGACTTTCCAAAGTATTATTGCACGGCCTGTTCAAAAACATGGTACAGGGGTGCGTAACTGCCGGTGTATAGTATTTGATGAATCAACTGTATGAATACTGTAAGCCTTGTACTGTATGAATACTGTATGATCCGCCACTGTTATAATAGAGTATTTGTTACTGGCCTCACTTTTGTTTCCTGGATGATTGATCAACCCGCAGGCCATTGACACAAAGTATACAAGTCAATTGTAAATCTCGAACTCGTTTCAAATCGGAGTTTCGAGTTGAAACAAATTTGGTCGTTTCGAGTTCGCATTGAGCCTCGACGGCAGCTATACTTAGTGAGGCTAGACTGCAAATGTGATGCATTGATGACTTAACGTTCAACCACATCACTACCTTCCTCGTTGGGCTCAATTGCCAATCGCGCTCGTGGCACCTGGACCTGGACCACCGACGATCAGTATGACTCGACAGGCCGGACAAAAATTGGGCAACACCGGTGAGTGTGCGTTCGAGTGTCACTTCACTCAATATCTGGCAGCTGTACTAATAGTACTTCACTACTTATTACCAGGGCGTGCAGGAGAAACTCATGAGCGCTCCATTCATGCTTATCGGTATGTCCCGTCTCTGTCTGGCCTTTGAAGACTCACTGAAGGCTGGTCCTTCTTTGTTGATCCCTGCACCAGGTACCGATGTGGGGCATCATGCACCCAGCATGGTCAACCAACCCTCTGTGGCCCCTCTCGTATGTTTGCCGGATCAGTATGGGTCAACCGGCCCCCTGTGGCCTCTCTCGTATATTTGTTGGATCAGTAGTATGCTGCACAGTACGGGGTACCCTCACTGGTTCTTGTGAGTTCATTCTGTCTCTTATGTATAATGCGCTGTTTGACTGTCTGACTATCACAGGCGAGGCAATCAACAACTTTAGTGAGCATAACAGGGCCGCATCATATTCTTCCATCCCCATTTTTCCGTCTACAATGTCGACCACATGTCCCGCATCCTCCTGCGGTCTTTTTCTCCATCTTTGGGCTCGTTCCTGCAGCTGCCTGGGGTCGCGCCCATCCTCAGTTTGGGTGTGGCGTGGTGTGGTGGCGGTGCTGCTCTGCACGCAACCCAGGTGATCAGTCCTTCGCAAACCCTACATTTTTTAATGATGCCCGTGCCACATCGGGAAAGTTACTAAAGCCCAGCTGTATGTGGCAAAGATCAGACGGAGCTCAAGAACTTTGTTTTACGGAACATTGAAAATCCATATCAAGATTCAACTTTCTGTCACAAGAGCCTGGATGACCACATTTCGCCATGCCCTATACCAGTACTGACTCGGACTCACACCTACCTGGCTTAAGCGAAGCTGAAGCTCTCCTCATAGTCGCTAGAATTGAGGAGTTGTGTGAAGGTGGAAGCAGCACACCCAGCACTCCACATAGCCATGATTATGAGCCGTGCCTCGGTGGCCAATCCCATGGCCAAGGCGCCCCCGTATACAGTTGCGGGTGCTACCGTCGCACGAAAGTTGAACCTGCACTTGCACTCGCAGATGCACTCGCAGATGTATCCAAACACCAGGAACTTGAACGGGTACAGTGGCCACCTCAAGATATCATACACCCAAATCTAATGGTTATTGTTCCAGGATGTCGATAGTTTGACCACACAAGTTGGAGGCCGTAGCAGTGACTCGGAAATTCGGCCCCTGAAGCACAAGAGGTCAACGATGGCCTCTGAGTCTGACTCCGTGGGAGGAACGGTGAGCTGGACTCATCATTTCATTTTTCACGTCAGTTGTTAATGGCCATATTGAATGTAGACACCACACCGCTTTGGGCGAAACCTGACCAATGTCCAACGCGCTCAATCAGTCCCAGCACTTGAAGCGCCAAAGCGTAGGAAGTTGGGAAGCCCCTTTGAATTTAATGGAGGTACGACTCATGAAACCTCAGTACTTAATGTTGTGAAACGCCTCGAAGCTGCCATTGACAGGCAAACAGAAGTGCTGTCCAAGATTCATCGCATTCTGGAGGGCAGTGCCAAGTAAACTTATCATTTATGATACCTTCTGTTGTAAACCTATACCATCACGATGTATATTCAAGCTCGATGGAAAGCTTTTGATGTAAGACTATGTACTAGTAGACTGCCATTGGAAAATCATGAAGGTCGTGCCAATAATCAGAAACCCGAACAATTCCGAGTCGGAGTGAGTCATGGCACGGACACGCAGGCTTAGTCCTCCAACTCACTAGCATCAGCACAGACATGAACCAAATAAACTAAATGGTGCCGCGTGTCATCATTTTCCATATCGGATCGCTGTGGCGTTAGAACACAATTTTCAGTGAGTTCCTCCCGGTCACCTGCCGAACTATGCAGAGTAATTCCATTGCTAAAAAAAATACCTGCAGCCTTGGCTTGACGTCGCATCGAAGCTCATCTCCTTTCATCGCTCACTAGGCCACTGTTGGTTTAGCTTAACTTGAAACTCAGGCTGACACTTCTGTTCTTCATGCGGTTATGATATGGTCGGATCTACAGTAGTGCAGGGTTGGCATCTCACATGCGACTCTGTTTGTTTGAGCTTCACGAGGTCACCGGCATTACACACAATACAACCGCACTATGTAAGTCTAATGCATTCCGGTCACAGAAGAATCAAGACTGACCATTAGGTCATCATGCATCATGGCTTATCCGCATAACGAGTTGCGGGTCTGATCTGTAGCTCCGTTCTTTTTCAGGAATGTAAAGTCTCAATAACCGTTAGTTTACAATGACGTCGACTCAGACTGGCACCGATTATGTGTCTATTATGAACTCATTTTTTACAGATTCAAATGGACATGACATTAATGGTATGGCGTCTGAGTTGGGCCAAATGCCTGTCCTCGGTTCCGTGGATAATATTTGCTCTTTGTGACCGCCGCTTATTTGTGCCTCACAAAGTTCACTTGTGAGTGTTTCTTCTTATATGAACTTGCTTTCATTCACTTGCACTTGTCCTCTCGCTGCTCTCCCTCCGCTCTCGCTCATCCTTGTATCTACTCGTTGGTCGTTGGTCATCGTTGGTCGTTGGTCTTTGGTCGTTGGTCTTCATTGGTCGTTGGTCGTTGGTCTTCGTTGGTCGTTGGTCTTCGTTGGTCGTTGGTCTTTGGTCGTTGGTCGTCGTTGGTCGTTGGTCATTGGTCGTTGGTCTTTGGTCTTTGGTCTTTGGTCTTGAGTCTTTGGTCGTTGGTCACCGGTCATTGGTCGTTCATTGCTCGTTGGTCATTGGTCGTCCTTACATCTGCTCTTGCTCGCTCGTTCTGACTCCCGATACCTGTGGACCCATGGACCAGTATCCGTACCTGTGCAAACCCATACCATGCTACTGCCTAGCTGTAACCATGTACGGTTGCGGTGATTAACTCCAGTTATTAATTAGGTTCATGTTCGTAAATACTAGTATACAGTACATTGTCCACTATTTATTCTGCTGCCTATGAAATACCCGGGCCCGTGACAGGTTTGAACCGTCCGATACTAGTACCCGCATGTAGTACCCGTCCTGCTAGCAGTGATCGGTGACCCTTGCTGTATGCAGGGTCGCGAGTGGGTAGAGATATGGGGTAGTGTTTGAACTTTGTGTACCCTGAACGCCCGGCTGCAAGTCGAGACTAGTATATACTAGGCATGCCCGTGCTGATTCTAAAGGGAATATATTTTGGCCGATTTCAGTGATTGTACTGGCTGAATATGCATAGAAGTTTATTGGTATTCATTACCCACACCAGGGAGCACCAGGAAACACAAGATTTGTTGTATTATGTATGTCTACCGAGTGATACAAGCATGACAAGCCTTATAGGAATTTGCATAGAAGTTTATTGGCATTCATTACCCGCACCAGGGAGCACCAGGAAACACAAGATTTGTTGTATTATGTATGTCTACTGAGTGATACAAGCATGACAAGGATTATAGGAATTTGCATAGAAGTTTATCATCCATGCCAGGGACTGCCAGGAAGCACGAATGCTGCAAGATTTGTAGTAGTATGCGGCATTGAATTTGAAGCAAACAAGGGTCTGCCGACTGACACAAACATAACAAGGCTTGTAGAGATATCCATCAATTTCATCACTTGCGCAAGGGACCACCAGGAAGCACAATTATAACAACAGTTGTAGCGGCATGTATTTATTATCAGGGTCTACCAACTGGTACAAGGCTGGTAGAAGCGTACATAAAACCTCGCTGCATGCACGGACTTATATGGAAACTGACAAACTCAACACACGTCTGTCATGTGTTTGTGGGGATGGTAGCAATTGTGCACCTTGTACCGGCTGTTACTGGCTGTCACATGGGATGTACGGTTGCTGTTTTTTTTATGATGGTAAGTAAGGGTCCATGATATAAATAAAGGTGGAATGATATGTAAATAAGGGAAATAGAAATACACGCACTAGAGAGCTTGGTGGACAGTGGATGGATGCTTCCAGAAGGCTGGCGCTATAGGGCGACCAAGCGCGGGAAAGCGCGCGCGCATATACATCGTAAAGCGCGGGAATGGTGCGCGCATGGCGCGCGTTGCGCTCCCTAGTGAATACTGCCATATCACACCATGAGAGGCATGAGTCTCTACAACGGACCAAGCTAATCGTGAGAAGTATTCATAGTACAGATAAGGAAGGCAATCAAAGAAAGAAATAGAGAGATGAAGCATGATTGTAACATTACCCCCTTACTAAGCGTAAAGTCACCGGCTTTACTCATCTTGGTTTGCCCAGTAAACAGGGTCGTCAGAATAGTCCAATTGATCCTCTTCGTCCCCACCTCTAAGTCGCTCTTCACGGTAAAGAGCCTCTTCTTCAGCACACTGAAGGATATAGGCTTCATCTCACGCCTTCTCCCAAGCCGTTAATTCCTTGTAGAACCCTTTGTCCTTCCAAGTAAGCATAGTAGGAGATGGGCCGGTAAACATGGGACAATAAAAGGAGAGATGTCCAGGAGAGAGTTCTTGGCATACTCGGCAGTAGTAGTCGGGACACTTCGTTTGACGGTGGCCTAGGGATTTACAATAACGACACACCCGATTTTCGTCGGGGTTGGAAGACGATGGGCGGATTACAGGTGGTGCGGGTGTAGAGCTAAAAGCTTCGTCTTCGCTAGTAGCCCTTCTTTTTCCCTTTCCGTGATAGGGCGCCCTACAGGTTTTCCTATGATGAGTAGTATGCGTTTTTATCTGGTCCACTTCCTTTTCCGTAAGAATGAAGATGGATGTAGGCATGGATGCTCGTTCTGCCTCCACAATTAGCTCAGCGGATTCTGCAGGAGCAGTGGCTCCTAATGCTTGAAGTGGGACGGAGTTGTCTGTAAAGGTAGATGGCGATAATGTAACAGGAATAGTCATGGGTGGATGGATATGGAGCGCCTGAAGCGCAGCGGACAGGTCGAGAATCTCTTGGTGAGACAGATATTGTTCATTCGGATTGGCTAACACTTCTTCGTGTGTAGCGGAGAATGTGGTATAAAGATTTACTGGGTGCTCAACAGTTTCTTCTGGAGCTACCACGGTTTCGGTCGAGGTAGAGAGGGAGTTAACTCGCATGGCTAACTGTGTTTCTTCTTGCAAGTTAGCAATCATGGTGTTGGTAATCTCCATGAGGCTGTTGACAGTGTCCAATAGCTCGTTAGACATATGAGAAGGAGGAACAGGAATTCCACCATCATAGGAAGGTGGAGGGGTTGCAGAAGGTTGTTGTGGAGACGGTGGTCGAGCGACTCCGGCAACTCGTTCAGCAATGACATGAATAGCCATCTGAATATCAGACTTAACCTCCTCAGGCACAAGACACAGAGCATAAGAGCGAATGCGTTTTTGTAAATGCATGATGCCATGCTGTACACGTGGTTCCTCCACGTGTTGAGTGAGTCTCTCAATGAGGTCAGTGGCATGGATGATGTTGACGATGAGGTTAATGGAGAAGGTGTTTCTGGAGATTGTTATGACTAGGATAGGTCGAGCTCTCCCTAGGCGGATTGCCTAATCTGATAGCGGGCTCGCTACTGGAGAGACGGGTTCACAGCTTAGCGGAATGCTAAGGTATCCTCCGACAAGCTTGGTAAGCGCGGCAGCTCGTCAAGCTGTAGGGCTAGCGGAACTATACGACTAAAGGTAGTGTCAGCTTGCCTTTAGGTGCGACTAAGACTGAAGGACTGGGACTGTCTTTCAGAGGAAGTTCTGGGGAAAACCTAGTAGAATCAAGTACAGAAATACATGATCCTGTCTGCTCTATATACTGTCGTCCATGTGCACAGACCAATACTACGTTTGGTAGGTAAGTATGAGTGTATCCATACACGGGCATGTTATCAGATGCCATGCGGGCGATTATCTATACATGAGGCGTACCATGCCTCTTCTATCAGTCCTTGAGGCGAAGCGTGCCTTCAAGTCTAACTGCGCATGCTGCGGCATGCGGCTTCTCTTCTGACCATGAAGCAGAGCTTCTCCATGATCCGGGTCGAGGACCATCTAGGTCCACCTAGATGTTGCCTAGGCTGGTCTAGGTCATCTAATGGCATCCAGGCCGTTTCTAGGTGTCTCTACATGTCTCCGTTGAGTCGGTAAGTCTTCCAAGACAGTGCATATGGTGGGATAGGGGCTAAGGTCAAGATGACCTCCGTATGAGGGGTTCCGGTTACATGTTATTGTAACAGAGATAAGGATTCTGTTGATTTCGACGGCATGTTGGGGACAGAGGACTGCAGCTTCAATGAGTGCGAGGTCTTCGATTTCAGAGACGAAGTTTTCATATCTTCCTTCATTGGACGAGAAATTGGTTTGGGTGAAGGTGGATTCATAGGGGAGAGTGTAGGAGACTGGGAAGGGCATGATGTTGGGTAAAAGATGCAGTTTGAATAGTTATTCATTTCAGAGCGAGTGTTTTCTTTTATAAGCTGAGAGGGTTTCGTCGGCATTTCCCAGGTTTTCTTCAGGAATCCACTCGTTGCTGGCAGAGGAGTATCCTTTCCACGATACCAGGTATCGGCGAC